ATACACACACACCATTTATTCAGTCACGTGTTACATCAGTTTTGACACACACCATTTATTCAGTCACGTGTTACATCAGTTTTGTACACACACACACACACACACACCATTTATTCAGTCACGTGTTACATCAGTTTTGACACACACACACCATTTATTCAGTCACGTGTTACATCAGTTTTGACTCGCACATCATTTATTCAGTCATATACTCCGTCGGCTTAGAACAACACTGTAGTTGTTCGGTGACATGTTCCATTAATTCAAACACCGTGTTGTTATAACCTAACGTATTTCAAAGTAAATGCCGCTCATACATTAGATATCTCCACGGAATTACCTTAGCTGGGATTCGCCCGAGTAGTAAGTAGTGCGTTAAGATACTGGAAGAAACATGATGATAGTGTATTCGAAGGAAAGCCTCACCAGGAATTTCTATACCAACTGCAGGAAGAAAGCTTAATGTAAATACATCAGTACACGTTTTTGGTATATCCACCTCCAACTATAATGTAATGAAAAACATGCTCTCATGTGTGATTTGATTAATCGAAATATTGTAATTCAAGTAACGACAGAAGTACGTAATAAATATGTTGAAATCATTTTAGATACGGTATTTTGTTTGCTTATTTTTTTTTTTTTTAGCGTTAATGAAGTAATGAAACTTTGAACATCGTATACTTGGCGGTGTTAAAAGATAAACTTCCAAACTTTAAGTAATTTTGATGTATCTTATGAAAATAAAAGCGTGAAATGAATAAACGTAGGGTAGCTGGTAGGAGTAACAAATGGTAACACCCACCTGTATAAATATTCGCATCCTTTTAACATAAGCTGCTCAGAGCATTGTTCAGAAACGAGTCTCTGAGAAAGAATTACGACGTGCGTAAGCCGTTAGGAACGTACTTCCTTAAGCGTTTAATATCAACAAAGGCATTAAATATATCTATTTACACATATATACGTATTTGAATGTTTCTTTTTTTTTCCAGAATACGAATAGGGAATGTGATATATATTTTTAAAGACGTGTTTTTCTCCTCTTTATCTTTTGCTGATTTATTCTTTTTTCTTTCTGGCATATTTCTTTTCAGAAGACAAACCCACGGACTACACACCAGTTTACAACAGTCATAAGCACACCCTCTTACCCAACGGCTCACTTCTCGTCCATTCAGCTGGCAAACCCGAAGAAGGTTATTACCTCTGTGAAGCCCGAAACGGCTATGGCGGAAACCTCAATAAATTGATCAACCTTACAGTGCACCGTAGGTAACGCTTAGTGCACCACGATGTAAAAACCTTTTATAGAGAGCGAGGCTTTATAGTGTTTTGGGTTTTTTTTTCTGTGACTTTATGGGATTTCAACAATATCTGCCTTCTATCTTCTCTCCCTGTGCTCAATCACTGAATAATAACTCTTCATCTAAGTTTCGATTTTTAGCTCCGAGATTTATCCCCCTTCTCTCCCCCCTCTCACACACAATGCTGCTGGAAGTTTCATTTCTTTGTTGTTGTTGTTTTTTCTTTGAAAGTAAAGAATGATTATAGATACAAAAAATAGTATGCCTCAATTCTGAACTTCGGGCATAAAAAAAAAGACATATTTTTCTAAAATACACCTCGATTTCTTTTCTGAGTTATGTATTGTAGACCAGCAAGTTGGCGAGTGACAGTGTAGACACTTTAAATACTAAAACTTCTTAGTTCTGCTTTAGAATTAAGTTTATTGTTGATGCTTTTATATAAAAGAACAGAACACAATTAGAGTATGACTGGCTGATCCGATGTTTCTATGAAGTGAATATTTGAAAGTTACACTGTAATGGTTGAAATAAATGACTCGTATTAGCCGCTAAAAACGACCAAAGTTCGAAAAATTGAAAGTCTATTTATCCATTGAAGTGTCAGTTAAAGTATGGAGGAAGGGGCAGTAAGGGCTTGAGATAACCCCTATTATAGTTGAATAGAATTTCCCCAAATACATACTGTATATCGCTAATAGCTTGTTATATCGTTATTTTTCATCTCATAATTTTAAAGATGGCAGCCAGTAACGTGTGCGAGCCTGTAAGTTAGTTACTCGGAGTAAATTTTCGGTATTAACTACTTTTAGAAATAGTTTCAGAAAATATTATATAGAGGGTGGGTGAAAGTTACTGTACAGTTGGGTGGGTCAAAAGTTACTAAACAGTTGGTACTAAAGAAAATATTACGAGACAACTGAAACTAAGTTAATTATTTTTTGTTTCAGAGTAAGACGCTGGAAATTAAACTATGCTCTAAATGAAACAATTGTATAGTCTCTTTTGCTCCACCCTTTATTTATTAGCCAATCCGACAACATATATCAGTTCATAATGTATTCGTTTGGAACAAACCTTAGTTTTTTGTCGTATGCCAGACACACATATCAATTCAAAGTGTTATCATATAGTTGTCAACATCGTGTGTATGATTCCTATCAGCAAAACGTCAGTCCTTATTCATGTGTATGATTCCTGCCAGCAAAACGTCAGTCCTTCTTCATGTGTATGACTACTGTCAGCAAAACGTCAGTCATTATTCATGTGTATGACTCCTGTCAGCAAAACGTCAGTCCTTCTTCATGTGTATGACTCCTGTCAGCAAAACGTCAGTCCTTCTTCATGTGTATGACTCCTGTCAGCAAAACGTCAGTCCTTCTTCATGTGTATGTCTCCTGTCAGCAAAACGTCAGTCCTTCT